TGGCTATTCAAAATGTGGCCCGGGAATGGAGTTCTGGGAACTCGAAGACCAGGAAGTGGACTAGAGTTGGCTCCGGGCATCCAAAATGTGGCCCGGGAATGGAGTTCTGGGAAATGGAAGAGCACGAAGTGGCTTACAGTTGGCTCCGGGCATCCAAAATGTGGCCCGGGAATGGAGTTCTGGGAAATGGAAGAGCACGAAGTGGCCTACAGTTGGATCCGGCCCCCCAGAATGTGGCCCGGGAATGGAGTTCTGGGAGAAGAGCACGAAGTGGCCTACAGTTGCATCCGGCCCCCCAGAATGTGGCCTGGGAATGGAGTTCTGGGAAGGCGAAGAGCACGAAGTGTGTGACTGTTGGTGAAAAACGAGCCCGGCTCACTGCCGCCCGGCAACTCCCAACACCTGCCCGGACCCCCCTGTGGAGTGATCTGCTGCTCTCTTTTGATCCCACTAGAAACCTATCAGTCTTCGCTGTTAGGTAAAAAGAGATGGAGAGAGAGAGAGAGAGAGAGAATAAGAAGACAGAGAGAGAGAGAGAGAGAGAGAGAGATAGAGAGGCAGAGAGAGGAAATGGAGAGGAGGCGAGCTTGAGTCAACGAAGGTCGCAGGGAAGGGGGCAGGGGAAAGAAGGCCAGAGAGCGCTGAAGGATACAAATACTGGAACCCTCTTGGGATTTTTTCGGGGGCCTCGTCCGGCCGCTCGCTGGGAGTTTGACGTAGCTTCTTGGGAGCCTCTGAACCTGTCGGGGGCCTCCTGGAAGTAGGTTCGAAGCATTTGGGGGGCCGATTTGGGGCTTCTCGGGGCTCTTTGGGCCTCTTGGGGGTCTCCTGGGGCCTCTTGAGGGGCCTCCTGGGGGCCTCCTGGCGGCCTCTTGGGGCGGAAGGCTCGAGCTTGCGGTTCGTGGTCCCCCTCTGGGCCCCCTCTTGGGCCCGTCTTGGGGCCCTCTTGGGCCATCTTGGGCGCCTCTTGGGCCGTCTTGGGGCCCTCTTGGGCTGTCCTGGGGCCATCTTGGAAGCTTCTTGGGCCGTCTTGGGGCGGTCTTGGGCGCCTCCTGGGCCGTCCTGTAACGTCGGAAAGCCCAAAAGGCAACCTTGTTGAACATCTACGTTTTATAAGGGAATGGGCAATTTGTTGCGTCTAGGGGCCCTCTTGGGACGCATGTTGGAGGCTTCTTGGGGCCTCTTGGGGGCGTCCTTGGACGTCTGGAGGCCATCTTCAGCATCTCGGAGCCCTCTTGGAGGCCTCGTGGAAGTTTCTTGGGCCGTTTTGGGCGCTTCTGGGGCCCTCTTGTCTGACTGGGGAGGCTTCCGGCAAGCCCCGACGAGCCTCCGGGCCCCCCGGAGCCCACATTTGCGGTCGAGGTCCCGGCCCCGGGCCCCGGAAAAAAAAAAAAAAAAAAAAAAAAAAAAAAAAAAAAAAAAAAAAAAAAAAAAAAAAAAAAAAAAAAAAAAAAAAAAAAAAAAAAAAAAAAAAAAAAAAAAAAAAAAAAAAAAAAAAAAAAAAAAAAAAAAAAAAAAAAAAAAAAAAAAAAAAAAAAAAAAAAACGCAGGCGGAAGCGCCGACGGCGGGCAGTCGCGGGCGGGCTGCGGCCGCGACTAAATTCCCGGGCGCGCGCGGGGGCCGCGGATCAGGCGGCGGGGGGGGGGGGGGGGCAGCGACCCAGGGCGTCTGAGAGGCCAGGCGAGCATGCAATCCAGGGGATCTGCAAGAACACCCAAGACACGTGCAAGTGGCAGACCCAGGGAGTAGTCGGCCACCGAGAATTAGGACGCCGCCAAAATGGCGCGTGGAGGCGGGCGCGCGCGAAGCCGCGGTCAGGCGGCAGGCAGCAGCGACCCAGAAGGCCTGAGTCAGGCGCGCAATCCAGGGAGTCTGCAGGGCAGTCCCAGGGCGGGTCATGCAACGGCGAATCCAGGGAGTCTGAGCACAGGCACCGAGGAAGCCGAGCGCAGCCAAAATGGCGCGTAAGGCGCCCCCAACAGTTCGAGTCGAACGGGTAGGAACGGTCCCGAAGACGCCGACCCAGGGTCTGACGGGTAACCCAGACTGACTGGCGACAAAATCAAACGGGAAGACCTGACGGCGGATCAGAACATCGCAACGTCAGTACACGCATCCAGGGCGCGGAATAAGGGTGGCCAGACAACACTTCCACAACTGAGATGCGTAGGCCCTTGATCCAACGAAGGGAGGGCGAGAGGTGCACACAAGCCACACGGTAAGAACGCTGGCCGAAGGTGTACGTCCAAAGTGTCTCGGCGCTACCCATAGAGGGGACAGGTAGCACCCGAGGGACGGGAACGTCTTATACCCCAAAACGCGCCCCTCAGAGTCACTTCGATCCAGGGTCACGGCTGAAGGCCGTTGAGCGGTTGAGAAGTCCAGGGTGAGCCTATGGGCGGGCACTGGCCCGGAGTCCACAGGCGCGGGCCAGGTCGCGCCTGGCAGGTGAAAGGTCTACAGTAAGGCCGGGGGCCACGGGTCCACAACCCGGGATGGCTGTGGACAGTATTACCGAAAAGCACACCTGACTCCAAAAGCCGGAGGCGCGCGCGTCGGTGGAGGGCGGCGAAGCGCCTCGGTGAGACTGGGCCCGCAGCGCGGCACGAGGCTGCGCCAGAGGGATTCCAGGGTGTGAAACTCAGCGGAGCGGAGAACGTGAGCCCTGCGGCAAGGATGCATCAGCCAGGGGTGAGAGTGGGGCAGCAGGGCCAGGGGCCAGCTAGGGTCTGCAGGCTGCGCACTGCCACGCAAAGTGCAGATGGTATTACTGGGCGGCACACCGTGGTCCAAAGGTAGGAAGAGCGCCGTCCAGGGGGGGGGGGGGGGGCAGTCGGGCTGCCCCGCAGTCGGAGAAAGAAAGCGGCGGAGGGCCTCACCCGGTGCGTGGAGAGGTTGTCGCGCGGCACTAGGCCCTGGGAGCGGGGAGTGAGCTCAGTCCCTCCATCGGGGCCTCTTTTCGTCTCTATCGTCCCGTTCGTCGGGGCGGCCTCCGCCGCGTTTGCCGCCCGTCTGCCAGCGATCTTCGCGCCATCCATCACTCCATTCGCCCTGCCAGCTGCCCCAGGTGTGCCAGGAGCTTGTCGCGCGGTCACGCCAGCCGGACTGGTGGTAGCTGCCTTTGCCCCTGTCGTCGGTGCGGGAGTGTCGCAGGTAGTTGGCTCGTAGCCTGTCCCAGTCAATTGCGTAGCCCAGCCTCGTGTTCATCTGGTAGGCGTCATACCCGCAGTCCTTCCAGTCACCAAGAAACTTGTGGATGGACGTGGCCGCGTGTAATTTCGGATCGGATTTCGGCGCCCTGGATCCGAGGAGGCAGGTTCGCTGCGCGTGCGCTGTCCACAGCGCGCAGAAGACTGCGCCCAACTCTGGCTGAAGCCTGGCCATGCGTCTGGCGGGGGTCTCGTTGGGACGTTCGAGTTCTACAATGCCCAGCCAGACTTTGTACATGGGGCCGCCCCCATCCGGACAGGTCAACCGGTTGAGGGCCTCCACCTCCGATGTGCCAGTGTGGCGATGGTGATAGTGCCTCTGTCCAGGGAGCTGCGGGGTGGGCACGGGAGAGCGGTCGGTCGGCGAGCCACTTCGGTCGCGGGTTCTCTCGTCCCTCATGGGTCCCCGGGCTGGGTCTCCACTGTGGTCGACGTCGGGCGCTTCCTCCCCAGCCGAGGCCGGGGCATCCTCGCGGGTGGAGTCGGAGCTGTCCGCCGATGGGCTCGCTGACGCCTCGCCGCCGGGGCGTCTTCTATGGTCGTCCGAGGCCGAATCCGAGCAAGTAGGAGGCCGAGGGGGCTCGTCTTCTCCAAAGTCGGGAGACTCCATCTTTGTAGGGGGGATCCCGTCTTCCGCGCTCTCGTCGTTGCCGCTGCGGTCGGGCGGGTCCTGGTGGCCCATACGCGAGTCGTTGTCCATCGTGCCCTGGGACCTATCTGCGTCGGCGGCCATAGGAGTGTCTGGTCTGTCGTCGCCCATTGTCCACACGCCAGGTGGGGGAGACTCGGCCAGGGAGGTGATGGATGCAGAGGCGAGGGCGTCGGCACCGAGGCTGAGTATGAACCCCGTCAGCGTGCTGATCTCATGCCGGATGGGAAAGAGACCGCTTGCCGGGGCCAGCGTCGCCGCATAAATCCTCCAGGGCTCCTGAGGTCTCTCGCCGTTGGTCAGGTGTGCTATGACTCGCGCCGCGGCCACGCGCTTACCTTCCCAGCGCTGCTTGGGAGGGAGACAGTTGTCCGGGATGTGGTCACCATATATAGCCCTGAGGAACTCTGACAGGAAATTGTCGGGCAAGGAGGCCTCGTCGTAACTGGGCTCAGGAGCACTTCTGTCGCGATTGGCGATACAAAACTGCCTCCAGGTGTAATCCAGTCCAGGATAGAAATCGCGGAGGAAGGTTACCAGCACCCGCCGTGCGGACACTCCGCCGGTACCGGGCCTGCTGGGATCCTCGACGCTTAGGGTGGGATTATCGACGCTTCTGTTGCTCAGGAGAGGGCCTTGTGGTGCTGGCAGGTCCAGTTAGAGCTCCAGAAGCTGGGCGAGAGACCTAGGAGTCTGCTCAGTCGCTGCACCAGTGCTGCCCGCAGCGCTGGGTCCAGGGGGACTGCTTGCTCCGACCTTGGTGAATCGGTCCTGGGCCTTGGCGCCCGCGCCTGGCCATGGGAGAGAAGCAGAAATGTCCACAGGCGCATCGAAACCAATCTGGCGGCTGAGCGAGGGAAGGGCTGGAGGATTTCCCGGATACAGAGGTCTGAAATCTCGATCCAGGATGTGATCCAGGGTGGCCGGGCCTATGTTCCATATCGGGACCAGGCAACGTCGGCAGCACCATGTAGCGTTCCATTGGCGCCCCCACCAGGCCAGGGCCCGCTTGTCGATGGGGGGCAGCCCAGCTTGCTCGGGAACGCCAATGCCCTCCGCCGGCTTCCATATGAAGCATCCCAGGGGTGGGGAGCCAGGGTCCCGGACGAGGAGCGGGGCCCCCTGGGGGCATGTGTCGCACCGCGCGGAGTAGGTCTGCGTCTGCGCGGCTTTTAAGCCGAAGCGCTCGTCCCGGATCCGCAGGATGGGAATGGTGGTGTTGGCTCGCTCGGGGATCTTCATGCCCGTCGGTTCCATGAGGAGGTCCGCTAGTGTCCTCGTGTCCGCCAGGGGGCTGCATCCAAAGCCAAGTGGAAGGAGTCCCAGGGAAGGGAGGGCGCTCGCTTTGTCGTTGTCGACTCCCGCCCTCTGCTGCTCATACTCCTTGACTATGTCGGAGAATGTCGCTCCTGCCGGCGCTGAGAGGCCCTGCTCCTCAAGGTGGCTTATCCAGCAGGCGTCGCAATGCCACCCCATGTTGGCGCCGTTGATGTAGGCCTGAGGCCTGTTCTGAGCGACCATCTGGCGCAGGTTGTCCTTTCCGCACTTGTCGCACATGAATCTGCCGTTTTTCTGATCGAGTGCGAGCCTCTCGTCGGGGATGTATGGAGGGTCCAGCCTGGTGCCTGGGGCGGGGGTCGACGGCGGGGGGGCATTGAGGTCGGTGTTGGACAGGGCAAGTCCGCCGCCGATGTAGGAGAGGCCCGCTAGTCGATCGTCAGGTCCCAGGGAGGCGTGGGCCCCCGCCAGCGCGACGTGTAGCGCACGCACTGAGCAGCCACGTGTATCCAGGGAGTGCAGAGTTGCGGCTGGGACGATTTGTTCGAGGACGAGCATGGGTGCTTTTAGCTGAAAGTCCTGCCTGTCCATCTCACTCCAGGTCTGCGGGCAGCCGGCTTCCTGGGCAATCGGGCGGTGATGCGCCAGCGCCACGAGCTTGGAGATGTGGGGAAGGACCGCCTCGATGCGGCCGTGTAGGTCGGCAAGGTCGTCCAGCGTGAGGCCCCAGGTTCGGGCGAACTGCCGCCGGAAATCCTGGTGAACCTCTTGCCAGGGGACACAGAACCCCAGGATGGCTTCGATGACGTCCCCAGCCTGCTCTGCATGAGAGAAGGGCCACAGAAACACTCGCGGCTCGCGGAGCATGAGCATCATGACGACCAGAAGCGACCGGGCCTTGCAGGATTCCATGGGGAGGCCGTCGGTGTCTATGATTCCCTCACGGAACTCGTCCATCATGGAGCCGCAACCTCGGAGGATCTCTCCCAACCCGGGCATTCCAGGGTGCTTCCTGTGCCTGCAGCAAACCTTGGTGGCGGCGCTCCACGCCTTGGGGGCCTGACGGAAGAGCCCTTTGGGGGTGCACTGGCGACGCTTCCAGAGTGTTACGCGCCTGCCACTGGTGTGAGGCAGCGGAGGGAGGGAGTCGTCGGGGACTGCGTTGCTCGCGTTCTCCCAGGGGGTGCCTAGGCCGAGCGTCCACACCATTGCCGCCCACAGCATGTTGTAGACTAGACTGGTTGCGTCTAGCCCCAGAGACATGTCAAACAGGAAGCCAAGGTGCGACCAAGCGTTGCGGTCGAGCATGCCCGGCTGTCTCGGCGTCGTGGCCAGTGAGAACTCGTGGGGGTGCAGCCCAGACATCAGGTATATGAGCACGTGAAAGGCAGGGGTCGAGAGGATATCGTGGAGCCCTCCCGAGATTAGTTTGCCCAAGGCGTCCCAGTCGAAGTGCTCGTCCAGGGGTGTGTTGTAGCGCTCAGCGAAACTGGTGGCCTGGGCGTCACGCGCTTTCTTCTTGTCCAGCTTGTTCTGCCCGCTCTTCCCCTTTGCGTCGCAGCTCCAGGCGACGGGCGAGGGTATCCATGCGGCAAGATCCTTGAGTGGGTCGAAGCTCTCGTCGATATCCAGGGAGAGCCTGCGGCCCACGGAGGCGTCGCCACGGAATCGGACCCAGAGGCGAGTCAATCGCCAGTACTTCGAGAGTACGCGAAGCTGGGACCAGGTGGCGTTGGCGAACATACGCCCGTCTCCCAGGATCAGGATATTCCGCTTGGCCCTGGTGATCGCCACGTTCAGGCGCTTGGCGTCATCGACGAAACCCCAATTGTAGTTCCCGTTGCTCAGCGTAGTTAGCACGATTACAGTGTCCGCCTCCCCTCCCTGGCTAAAGTCGATTGTGGTGAGCTTGAGCGCCCCGCTCTTCATGTGCTCGCTCGCAATCTGTCGTAGTTCAGGGAAGGAAGTGTTGATAGTTGTATGGACAGCATGGTCCTCTCGGAACACTTGTTGCCAACGGTGAATGTCCACCCAGTGTCCCTGAAGGGTTTGTCCAGGGCCGGGGGTGTCTTGTCCGTCGCGCCCAGGGCCGTCTCTCCCCTTGCCGGTCTGCCCCTTCCTGCTTCCTTTAGTGTTGCGCAGGACCCCGGAGAGGTGGCGGGGGCCCTGCGGCCACCCATCCATGAGAATAGCCGCTTGGAGCTGGTATCCGACCACGATTCTGACAGAGGTGCCATTGTCGAGCTCGGGCAGAAGTGCGCGCACGATGTCCACAGCCTGAGCTGCCTCCGGAAGGTTGGCAAAGCCTGGTTGCAGGTCAGAAGTGACCTCCCAGGAGGGTGTGTGAACGAGGAGGAAGCGGTGCTTGTCTGCGCTTGGCGGGGGATCCAGCTGTTCGAGGGTGGCGCGGAAGTCCCCCTCGTCCGACTCGGTGAGTTCCGCCAGCGCTGTCAGTCGCCCGGGTTCCCACGCCCTAATGTCTCTCCAGGGGATGCCTCCAACGATTGGCCGCTCGCTGAGCGGATCCGGGATGCCAGACTTCATGCCTTTCCCGTAGTAGGCAGCGTTCGGGAAGGCGAGCAGCTGCGGATGCATCCGATAGCAGATCGAAAAGTGAACCACGGACGATTCCTGGCCACGGAGCGCGTGACACATCCTGTCGAAAATGCCGACGCAAAGCCCGAGGTCGTTGGCCAGCTTGGAGAGCACAGTGGGGGGCAGCTGGTTCGGGTCACCCACGAGGACGAAGGTTCCACCGCTGTTGATTAAATTAACCATGGACATGAGTGCGTGGAGCTCAGTGGCCTGTCCAGCCTCGTCGATTACCAGGAGTACGATGTGGGGGCTGTCTTTTTGACCGAGGGCCTCGGACGCCTCGTGTGTAGACATGATTACCCTGGCCTCGCGGCTCGCCTTGTAGGGTCTGAAGCCCTGGCTCTTGTCCCCGTCCTGGAACGGGAATTCTCCGCGGGCGCTCCTGTAGTGTCCTTCGGGCGTCAGGTCGACGAGGGCTTCGTTGACACGGTCCTTCTTTGCCAGGCGCACGAACTTTCCAGGGAATCCCGTGTCTGGGTCCAGGCGATGCTGCCGATGTGCTTCTTATCATTGCCAGAGCTGGTTGGGCCACCGCTGTGTTGGATCCTGCTGCCAAAGCGACGGCCTGTCCAGGGCGTAGGCATGAGCCCCACATGTCCAGGCAGGCAACCGAGAAGATGGTCTTGCCCGTTCCAGGGGGTCCATGCACTAGTACGGCGTGGTGGCTCAAGGTGGCCTGCAGGGCCCTGGTCGCGTCGCTGTCCGGCTTGTGCTTGTCCAATATGCTGTTGAGGGTGTCCAGGCTGGGAGTAGGACGTACTCTCTGGAAGACAGAGCCTGTCGCCTCCGAGATCTCTTCGTCAGAGAAAGCCCTCAGGCCCTGGGGGAGAGGCGGCGCCTGCTGTAGAAGGCCGTCTCCGACGGCCTGCGCGCGGTCGGCGTCGGGAACGCTCTGTCCCAGGGTGGCGGCCGCCCTGGCCCTGAGGCTCAGCCCCAGTGAACGGGCGCGCCCCAGGTCGTCGGCCAAAAGTCGCTCGGACCGTGGGGCGTGCACAAAGGCAAGGAGAAAAGTCAACGGGGACAGCTGGTGGGCAAACAAATCCGCTGGGTTCTGGCGGAGGTAGTAGATCTGGTCGAGCGCCCAACACTGCCGCCAGAACTGGATGTAGGAAGGGGCTTCGTCCACGCGATGCCAGGGAACTTCGTCGCTCGGGGGGCGTTTCGCCTTGGTTTCGTCCTCGTGGAACTGACCTCCTTTTCCACTATTGTAGACCACGATGCACCTATTGGAGGGATACCTGGCGGAAGGGCCGAGACCTAGGGCTTGTGCGTCCCTGGGGTGGATGGGGCCTCCCAGAGCAGGAGGCCACCAGACTGTGACGTCTGCGATCTTGTCGACGGTAGGGCCCGTGACGGAAATATAGAGCCCCCCTGCTCTCTTTGTCGCGTTCCAGGGGTCTGGATGCAACCTTGCACATTGAGGGCCACTCCAGCAGGAGTTCTTTACCGTCGGCTAGGTTCATAGCATTCCGCAGCCGAAAGGTGTCCAGGTCCTCCAGCTCAGTGTTGGCATCGATCCTGGAGACACGAACTCCGAGAGCACAGTTGCCTCTCCTGGCGAGATCCTCTCGCGTGGAGCCTTTACCGTCATCTACCGTCTCGACCGAGGCCTGGCTTTCCACCCAGGCGACTCTCCGTAGCGTTTGCCCTCGGTCCTGTAGAGAGAAAGGCCATTGCGAGGGGAGACGAACGGCACCGATCAGCTCCCCGAGCGCCGCCTTGGGATGGACCCTGGAATGCGGGGAGTCCAGAGGAGCCGAGTAGAGACTGGCAACCTCTGTGGCCGCCTGCATGGCCAGCGACTCATCCAGGGCAGCTGGGCTTGTCGGAGAGAGGGTGTCCTCCTCTGAGGGCATCGCACTGTCTTCGGCCAACAAAACTCTTCGGTGCTGACTGGGTGGGCCCCAGGCGGGAGGAGGGCGAGACGGCGGGGGCGAGGGAGGAGGCAAGGCTGAGGCGCCGGTGGTCTGTCCAGGGACAATAAGGAGAGGCCCGATGGTCGATTTTGCTCGCATCCGGTTCCCTTCGCCGCCCTCGGCCAGCCTGAGGCCTTCTCTTGTGGCGCCCCGCCTGTCCATCATGTGTGTCCGTACCCTCTCCGGGTCCACCTTGGTGCCCCCGGGCAGTTGTACGTTGGCGGATCGTCCCAGAGGGGGTAGGTGGTGGGCACGTGCAACGCGTCATCTGGGATCGAAATGCCGGAGAGCGAGCGTACCCCGTCACGGTTAACCAAGGGTTTGACTGGTTTCCAGCCGGGCCAAGGCTTCCGTACAATGGGCACCTGGTGGAACGAATCGTAGGATTCCCCTCCACAGTTGCTCCAGAGATTTCCAGGAGTGACGAAGGTGTTCGGGTCTGGCCACCCGTCCTGGTACCGTGCTTCCAACATCTCGTAGCGCCTTTCGCTTAGGATGTGCTCTGTGTCGTCAACGGGCTCCTGGCAGATCTCGCACCAGTGGCGCCACCCGCCGTGGAAGTAGACCCAACGCATCCAGGGACAGAAGCGGGCCAGAAAGACACGCGTGCCCATGCGCACTGGCGGCCCGTCGTCACTGCACGGCAGGCAGGAGGGCCATCGACGGATGGGGCCTTGGTTGTTTTTGGGCATGATCCAGGGCGTCAAACGATCCAGGGTGGCAGCTGAAGGCTGCGATATCTTGTTGCGGCAGCTGAAGCTGCGACCC